TTCAGTTCTTTCTAATTTTAGCCGGTTTCTCCCAGGGGGTATGTTTATTTAAGGATCACAGTCTGTAAAACAGAGAGAAGTAGATAAGTGAGGAACTAGGAATTTACATGAGAAACAGGTTCCCAGCCTGGATTTAAACTCTTAATATTGTAATGGTGAACAGATTTACAGAATGAGATTAAGCCTCAATCTGCATTTAATGGAGCACATCTGAAGTGGCCTCTACTTGAACTCTTAAATGTGAGAATGTCACACAGGGCAGCCTATTTGACATGTCACCTACTGGTGAGAACTCTGAGGCTTTGATTGAGTTTTATCAATTAGCTTTGTGAGGGAAAACACTCTGCCTGACTTCACAGAGGCTGCATTAAGACACAAAAAAGTTTGTCACCTTGAGAAAACTAATAATCAAACATAAAATGAAATAACCAGCAAACTACCTTCTGTTAATTCATTTTTTGCTGGTTTTGTTCATCCAGCAGGTGATGAGTTTTAAAGAGAGCGTGGTTTACCTCACTTGAGCACAGTTAAGCGTGTGAATACGGCTTCCTATGGTGAAATGCCTGATTTAACTAAACCAAAATGCGTGTATGTGTTTTCATCAGGAATTTCATGAACAAAAACTAAACTAAATGTACTCACCTTTGCGCCCTGTCATCGACCTCTCTGATTCAGCGTTCACCCTACTTTGTTTCATGAAGTGATGCAAGACGTAGGATTTCAAAAAAATAAAATTCAAGGCTACTTTTATTCCTCCCTGTAAAATATTATATTGATGCTTGTTTGTCTTGTATTTGCTGAATGGAGATCATACTTTGCCCAACTTTTCATTTAAGATAGCATCACTGATTGTTACCACAAATAAAAAAATCTATTTATTTACTATCTTTACTTGAATTCCCACCGTGGAGTTGAAGCGGTATGCAAATACTCCCAGAGAGAAAAATATTTTTGACTAAGCAGGCTATATTAATCTTAGATCTTTTAACAGACTAAGCATTTTGTTCTTGTGCAAGTTGCTGAAACACTAGAAATGTTGTTTTTTTTTTTAATCATGGAGGTTGAGAGTTGTTGTATCAGTTTATTTGAAAATAAAAGAAGTCCACAAGAGAAGTTAAGTTAGATCATCTGAAAAGTATAAATTGCAGAAGATTCTGTATCTTGTCTCAAATCTTTTTTCTTTTTCTTTTTTTTCTCAGAACAATTGGAGGAGGAGTCAGTTCTTGGGGTCAGCATTTGGTTGAAATTGAGTGAAATTATGAGTAGCCCACCCCTTCACCTAACAGCCCCCCCACCCCTCCCGCCCTCTCATCTCCTCTCTATTGACTGGCTCTCCTGGGCATCATACTGGAGACCCCGTTGAGAGGATCTTTTCTCTCTATAAAGAGAAGATGCAGCTCAGGCGCCTTTGAGATGATCGCAGGGATTTATTGCGCACTTCTCTGCCTCTCACTTCAGACGGGCATCCTCGGCTGCTTCAGCACCAAGTGATCTGGACTGCTAGCATACTAAAAAAAAAAAAAAAAAAAAAAAAAAAAAAAAAACTACTGGACTGAGTGGACATTTGAATGACGCGGGATTTCCCCAGTCTGCTCTGCTTAAGTGTCGGAGGGATCCAAGACCCGAATGTGAGCATCCTTTTCTTCCGCGTTGAGAGCTGTAGTTGAGACTTTGTGCGTCGTCGCCTCTCGGCGCAGTTTGTGTTGCAGGTGCGTTTAGAAGGAGCGCGAGCACAGATGGCTGCGCTGACGATACAAAGGACTGACAACTTTTTGCACACCTTCTTACAGGTTTGTTGTATAACCGTCTTTATTGAGGCAGTGCACGCGGATTTATATATTTCCTGCTTTTGCGGTGGTGAAACGTCTCCACAACTTGTGCGCAATGAATGAAGAGGCTTGATGCCTGATCGGTGCGAGATGATTTAACTTGTTGTAGTGGTAAAATAATTTGATTACATTGGGATGAATTCAAGTAAGAGCAAAAAATAACAGGAAAATGTTTAAATTAAAAATTTGAAAACTGGTAATTCATTTGGTTTACATGGAGACTCTATTTCTGAACGTTTTAGGAGAGCTTCATATAAAAGAAAATGCTTATTTGAATGTCAGTAGATTTAAAACTAAGTTGTCCTAATGGTGGCCCATGTATTCTGATGTGTGTTTTTGAATTACCACGCAGGACCGGACGCCCAGCTCCTCTCCAGAGGGAGCACCTAACGCCCTCTCCTTCCTGGCCACCACCTGTAGCCAGGCCTGGCAGGTGGGAGGCGCTATGGGCTCAGAAGGTTCCCAGTTCCCCTACGAGGGCACCGTCAGCTCCACATCGGGAATGTTTCAGCTCTGGAGCAACGACATGGCGCCCAGCACAGCCCTCAGCACACACCAGATGACCTTCACGGTGCCCAAGGTGCAGTTCCCTGGACACATGCAGTCTGGCCTGGGTCACCATCATCATCACCCCCATCACCACCACCACCATGAGCTGCCTCTCACCCCTCCAGCTGAACCTCCCTCATCCTACTCCTTCGAACTGTCCCCTGTTAAAGTCTTGTCCTCGCAGCCGCAGTCCAGCGGCCCTTATTACCCTCAGCACAACAGTGTGGGACAAAACTTCCCCAGCTTTCTCCAGAACTCCTCAGCCAGGCATCACCTGCCTGGAGGCCATGTGGAGGAAGGGCAGCAATGGTGGAGCCTACCCCAAACCAACGCCACCCCCTCCAACCATCCCTTCTCCCTGGGCAGACAGCTTGTTTTGGGCCACCAGCCCCAGATAGCTGCTCTTCTCCAGGGCACCTCCAAGGGGCTGCTGAGCTCCACACGCCGCTGCCGACGCTGCAAATGCCCCAACTGCCAGGCGAATGGTGGGGGGCTAGAGTTCGGAAAGAAGAGACTGCACATTTGCCACATCCCGGAGTGTGGCAAAGTGTACAAGAAGACCTCTCACCTGAAGGCACATCTGCGCTGGCATGCCGGGGAAAGGCCCTTCATCTGTAACTGGCTCTTCTGCGGTAAAAGCTTCACCCGTTCAGACGAGCTGCAGCGGCACCTCCGCACACACACGGGGGAGAAGCGCTTTGGGTGCCAGCAGTGCGGCAAGAGGTTCATGAGAAGTGACCACCTCTCCAAACACGTCAAGACCCACCAGACCAGGAAGAGCCGGTCTGGGCAGCCTTCACAGAGCACGGACCCTCTGCTCACCAATATCAAGAGAGAGTAACCTCTGTGGTCCATTGTTTAAAAATGATAATCAACAATGAACAGACTGTGTGACTTACACTTGCTGCCATAGGTTTGCACTAGAGGGTAAGCATCAAGCTCCCCGAACATCTTCAGTTGTCAAAACCCTACTTTTGACTTCAAGTAGTACCATAAAAATATATTTAGAGACCATTTTTAACAAAAGTAACTGTGTGCTGTTTGAGGCAAGCCACCTTTAAAAGAAAACTTGAAACCTTTTCCAGTGACATTGTGAGTGTTTTGCTGCATTCGTTGTACTTTTCACACAAATTTCACCTGGAGCAACACTGATTTAATGCCTTTGAACAATCTGTCTAAATTTTCAACTTATTTGAAAATCAAACATTTTTCAAGCTTGACGATGTAAATATTTTATCTCTGCAAAAGGATGTGGCAGAATTCCACGAGACTTACCTTAATATTTTGTCCATATCGCCACGTTCAAGATAAATGAATGCCTTAGTACAGTAAAAAAGGTTGCTGTATAGAAATGATCATTTCCGCTCTGAACAGGTTCAGAATGGAAAATTGCCCGTTGCTAATTAGGTTCTTATTCCAAAAAGATTTTCCTAATTTGTCTGCTTCAAGGTAGGGATCTCTTTTGAAATGTAAACACGAGAGTCTCTGATCTACTGATTTATCTCGTCTGCTCTTAAGCAGCAATGTGAAGCACCACTGCTCCAGATTAGCAAACATTTGAACACATTTCAAGTTCTTTGTAAACAATGTATAAATATCATCAACAATTTTATTGGGGTTATGGCCGCATGTAAATTTTAATAAACGCTGTCCTTGCTGAAACAATTCCACTGTTTTGAATGACGTTATTTTCTTACATCTTTATTGACTGATTGTGACTATCTGACTGACAGCGGGAGTCAGTGGTTTTAACCTCCTTACCAGCCCCTCCAATGAATGTGTGAATTTCTGCGAGTGCCCCAGAGCTCCTAAAGATCTAACATTTTATTTAAATGATGATTCGATTGCATTCAGAGTACAAAGGCTGCTCATTGTGCCACTGGTGTGAAGGAAGAAGCTCCTAAAGAAGACCTAACATGGTAGGCTGTTCAAAGATTTTCACACCTCAAAGTAAATACTCATCCCATTGATGGGGCTGTTTGTCTCGCCTGCTCCAATCAAGTTCACAGTCATGTGGTTTTTAATGAGTGTTTTCTTTCTCTCAATGGAGGAGCTCGAGTCAACAGATGCAACAGAGGGCACTGGAGAGGAATTCCCTGTGAATGGGACCCCTGTTGCTGAGACCCCCTCAGTGGTGACAGGAACTCCCTTTGATTTTGCACCCTTGTGAAAGTTAATACCCCCTTCGCCCCCCTCCTTCCGCAGCCTCCATATATCACAGCCGTGTTACGATCGGCCCTGCTTTACTGCCCAGAATGGGGCTTTATTCAGAGGCCAGCCAACCAGCTGTCTGCTCATCCAGGGGTTTCTTCTCTTTGTTTTTAATCCTGTTTGAACTTTGTCCAAGGGGGATGCCGAAGCAAGCAAAATACTTTGCCTTTGTCTTTGTCAGAATGGAGTCTGAGGACCTCCACGGCAAAACCAGTACTTTAATTTCAATATTAGCTTAACTAATAAGAAATGAACATTTCTTTCATTCAAATGAATATTTCCAAAAGTGGTTACAAAGCACTACAGTACAAAATCCACAGGAAAAAAAGACTAGACTTTAAAAGTATATGGGGTTATTTTGATCAAGCCAATAAAGAGAGATTGTGTGGAGTCAGCTTCAGACAATCGGCTTCAAAAAGACACTTTTTATTTGATATGATACAACAGTTTCTACTCAGTCAAACATGGCATTAACCAACCCTCTCTTGGTTTTACGTCCTTGCTTTTGGTTCTCTGTAGTGGTATTCCTTTGTGTGACATGCATAACTGCCTGATCAGTAATTCCCATGAAAACTCACCAGTTCACATTAACTGCAGAGTAAAGATGCAGATTCTGTGAAGACGGTCCAGCTCACCTGATGTCTCACCTTTCAGTTTACTTTAAATCATTTATTGTTGTTGATTTGTTTTGTTTTTTTTGGACAGATTATTAAGCAGCTTCAATGTAGGAACTGAAATATGAGGCCTATTGATCTTTGGTGCAGCTGTATGATCAAACTACTGTAAACTGGAAGTCAAAGCCTTGTGGGGACCTCTACTGGCCACAAAAAGAACTGACCTGATATTGACAGGATGGCCCCTTTCACCTACTCCGCTCTCCTCTTTTTGTCACTTAGGCATTACAATCCAGATAGTAACACAGGTATCTATGATTGTTTTGTAAGAGCAGTGGCAAACTGAACTATGGAGTAAGAAGTATGAGTATGAAACGTTTGAGTGGTGAGCTGCAGTTGTTTTTGGCACTGTTGTCTGAGGAAGAGGGTACATGCAGATTTGTCAGCATCACTCTGTTTATCCGGCAGCATGTTATCCTTCATTTCTACCAACTGGAGCAGTAACAATGTTTCTTGGCATACCTGGGTCATTCTTCATCTTACGAGTGGAAATGTATGATTGCCTTTTCTGGTATGCACTGCACAGTATTTAACCCATGAGGGAAAAAGCTAACAGAGATTATAGAAATGGTGCACAGCCTTGACATGACAACAGTGGACTAGTAAAACAATCAATATTAGTTTAAACCAATGCATTTTTAAGGACGTGTCCCCAAATCCACTCCGGCCTGGAAAGAAAGATCTGTGTAAAGAAGCCAGTCAATCACCAAGGAGATGTTGCTTGCAACACTTTGGGTCAGCACAGCAGTCCCTTTGAATGCACCTATCTAGCAACTCCTCAGGAGTTGCCCAAAGAGCAAAAAGTATTCTGTAGTGACGTCATACCCACAGAGAACCTCCAGGGGGCTCCCTCATGCCTTTTTTGTCCAGATCAAACAAGGGCCAGTCAAACAGAATAAGAGAGCACAGAGGCTCTCAACACTGTGGCGAGAAAGAAAGTTATTCACTCTCAGATGAAATTCGAGTGAGTCCTTGTAGCATGTTCACATCAAGTGTTCTGCCTTTTTCCCGTTCTTGTCAACATAAACAGCAAACTCAGTCGTCAGCAGGGGAATGACAAAGTATATTTACGTAGCTGTACTTGTCTTCACAATGGGGCATCAGAGAAAAAAAAACTTTATCAAGAAAATTTACCAGAGAGTACGAGAAGAGCCACAGGCACTCCTTGCACACTCTCATGCACACAAACACATCCATACTTCATTGCACAACATTCAGGCACACACGTAACTCCAGTGACCGCCCCAATTAGGAATGGATAATTCTTCATGAAACAACTCCCCCTTGCCCTTTGAAAGAGAGAAGAGTATGGTATACACACTCTCGAAAAGGTAAAAAGCAGAAATTGCCATAACACTGAGTGTTTTTTCGCTCTGAGCCCAGTACCATCCCACTGGGTGCTGTTCATGTACACTGAAGGTGTCCAAGGCTAGTCGCCTCCCTTTAAATGGCTCTCTAAAAACAGGAGCATCAAGCAAGCAAGTCATGTTATGGTTGCAGCTCATAATTCCTCCATATGTTCCTTCGGGTTCCTTCATTATTCTCCAGAAATCACTGTTGAACCAGGTAAGGGTCCAGCCTGGCATAAACAGACAGTAGACAAGTCTTCTTGTCTCCACAGCTGTAACATTAGCTGCTGCCCTCCTGACCCAGAGGACAGATAGCGTGAGAGTTCATAGGTCGTCCTCAGCTAGCTGAGCCAGGTTGCTGGGGCGTCGTCCGGCAGAGGGACCCGACAGTGAACCCTGGCTCCCATCAACAGCCTGACCCCTTCGGCAGCCCTCTCCTGCTCTCTGCTGGGGAGAGAGGGAACATTCGTGACACAGCTATATCCATGTAATGCACTCAAACCAAACTCATAACCTAAGTACGAAAACATTTATAAGAAAAATTGTATATCAGCAATTTTTCATTTGGAGACTCCATCTAAGAAAATGCATTGGCTGAAGTTCCACCTATTCACCCCAGCACAAGTATGGGAAATGATTATCTGCCTTTGATAGGCATCTCTCTCTGACTTCCTCATGTGGCTCAGTCTGCTCACTGTTTGTCATGTACCAAGTCTATCAGGCCTGAGTAAACAGAGAAAGAGGCGGAGAACAACAACTGCTGGTCTGTCAACACGGTCCCACTGAGGATAAAAGCCCTGTGATCACAGAGGGACGCGACGCTAATGGCAATGTAAAGCCCAACAACAGGATGCTCCTATCGTTGGCTGGCCAGATAGTTAAAAGGTAAGAACAGACAGGCCTGACATTTTTGAAAAAAATTATATTTCTTGTAAAAGACTTTTTGCTGCATTAACCTGACCGAAACAAGTGCAGCAAACATTGTATTCCAAATATCCAGATTGTTATCAATTCCCTTTTCATCCAATAGGGGGAGGAATTACTCTTCTTATGACTCAACAAATCCCCTCACTTTATGTGTGTCTAAATAAATGGTTACCATTGGCTTAAGTCTTTCATCTTTTAATTAACATTAATGAGCACATTGGAATTACTGTGAGAAGTTGTACAATGGCCCATTATTTCCCCAGCGGTTAGCTTCCTGTGGTTTGTTTTGTCATTAATTTCCCCAATGCTGCTGTTGAATAATGACTGCTAGAGAACCCAGGAACACAATGTTCAACTATGTGGAAAATAATTAATAATTATTATAACTGAAACGCTGAGGCTCCAAACAAAGACAAATTTGTGTCTAAATGCATGCGTTTACACTACCTGTGCGCTTTGTGTAGGTGTGTACAGCCCATTTGACACAGCTTGATAGTTTGGCTGATCAGTGAAGCCCAGTTGGACGTGTGATGGAGAAACAGTTTGGGAGTCAGCAGGGCACAGCTGGACCACAGTGGGCTGCAGATGCAAACAACAGGTAAGTCACTCAATGCTGTACTGCATGCACGCAATACCTTTTGTTAGCAGTTGTTTTTATTATTTCATTTGTGCAATACCCAGTACTGCTGCCAGAAAAAAAAAAAAAGCTTAAGATAAGCAGGCCTGGCTGTGTGTCAGGGGTGTCATAAACAGAAATGCTGTGTGTGAGTGGGAAGTAATTGCAGTACAGGGTCACTCTATGCAGGGGCAGAGAAAGAGACAGCTAAAGAAACCTACGTCCCGCAGTGAGTACGTCTCGCTGGGTCCTTGGCCCTGGCCTTGGCTGGGCAGGTAGAGCGTGGGCAAGGACGTGTTGTGAGAGTGAAGGGAGGGCAGCTTATGACGGTCAATGGAGGCGGAGGAGTGGGGCCGCAGAGCACTGGCAGCAGACAGAGGGGGCCTCATGCTGCGGCCCAGGCTATTTGACTTGCTCTCTCGCCGCTGGTACTCAATAGGTGACTGTAGGGCTGAAAGACACAGACAACACAGGCAGTTCCACTTCTGTTCCTGAATGTTTTACAAAGCATTATATCATGTGGAGTCAGCCTTTACTTTGTCAGTAACACTTTATATAGTGGTAAACGTAAAGATTCAATTAACGGTTTTCAGCACACTATAATGTAGCTGGAAGCAGGTTATGGCGTTGGAGTTCAGCTGGGTCTCACCATTGAGGAAATTACGCTGGGTTTCCAAGATCTGAACCACATCATTGACCCAGGCCCTGCAGATCTCAGGGGAAGAGGCCTGCAGCTGGAAGCGCACCACACTCCCATCAGGATTGCGTGATGTCATCACAAAACGAGCATCATCGCCGTCCACACTGGGCTCCACCCCTAGGCAGCTCACCTGGAACATATCACATCTGAGGAGTGAGGAGTCCATCCTGCTGAGTTGCTTGTTAAATACTTCACTAACACATGCCAGCCTCTAAAAAAAAAAAAAATCCTTGCTGTGGTATTATGTAACGTGTGCTGATTGGAGCAAGAATTAGTGTGGTGTGAATCTGTTGTGTAACTTATAACCTGGGAGTGAAATGTGCTTTCTCATTTTTAGTATTTTATGATGCTAAAACATCCTATGTGGCTGATCTGAGTTCACTGAGGCTCAGCAGGTGCCCACCTTTATGCTGTTCTTGAAGATGTAACCGGGGAGTGAGAAACCTTTCTTCCTATCAATCGGCTCACTGAAGATGACCAGCTGCTCAAACAGGAAGACCCGTCTTTCCTTGGCCCGTGACAGGAAGCCACTGTCATGCTCGGCAACGGTGAAGGTGTCTTGCTGGAGCAGTTTGCCCTGGGCTGTGATCTTCCCCTGGTGCCACGGCGAATATAAACACAACAAACAGAGGAAGTGGTTGCAGCGCGGGTTTCACGGGATGAACAGTCGGCATGAGAAATGTTTGGAAGACTTTGAAGGAAATAAAATTCCTGAGACGTACCTCAAAGCCTTGTAGTCGGCCCACATTCATCATGTCATTGCAACGTTTTGGCACAAAGCACATCACTTCTACTGCTTTCTGTTCGACACACAACAGTGAGGTTGTTATGAAGAATACTAATAAAAAGCATGAGTTACAGCACATACAAACAATTAGGAGCACAAACAAAACATCACTTTAAACCAGGACACCCACCTCCAGCTCCTCCGTGTCCATCCCAGCTTTGGTGTAATACTTCAGGAAGTCCTGCTCAAATAAACACAGCATGGTTACCAGAGCATTCCAGGTTTACTGCTCAGAGTGAGGTGAGGACATCTGGAGGAGTATTTATGGGTGTTGAACCCACCTTTCATTTGGATGCCAAAGGGCAAAGTTTTACATTTAGGCAAAGTTTTATACCAGAGATGTCATTTTATGATCATCTTTAAAAGACTTTTACGTATGATTGTTTAAATCCACGGTATGGAGAATGGAGTCTCATCATTTAATTTGCCTCTTCCTCTCTGACTAGAAAGTAACCTGAACAGCCTGTGTGTGTGTGTGTGTCGTCAGTGTTTCTGCACAGAGGGGGCGTACGTGTTTTTGTGTGCATGTTACAACCTTGTGACTGACCCTGCTGTGTGTCAGACAGTTGCTCAGTGAACACCCGTGCGTGTGTGAGGTGTTGGTGTGTGATCAACAGCGCAGCAGTGTCCTGCTTTTCACCTTGAGCAGCAGCTGGTACTTCATGATCCTCTGGACAGGTTTGATGAGCAGGTCATTGAGCTGCAGCCTTTGGCCCAGCTGCTGCCGCAACTCCTGACATCGGAGACAGACACAACGACACGGCACCAGTCAACATGACAGTCACAGCACAAAACATGGCAGCTAATGGCCAGTGTAATTCCTCTAAGACAATACATCACAAGGATTATACTGTTTGTCTATTAGGCCAATGTTTACTGTCAATCAAAAGGAACCGATTACAATCTGAATAATAAATGGAAGCTGAAACACACCTGCATGGCCATGTATAATATATAGTATAGGAACTGTTAGACTTTCATGCATACAAAATGTCTTATTAACTACATGCCTGAGCACCAGATGACCAGTGTATCAAATTAAATTGTCTTGAATTAATAAGTTAATCAACAGAAAATTAATTGAAAACTATGTTTGGAATTTAATTATCATTTCAGTCATCTATTAAATAAAAATCCCAAACATTTTCCACCTACAGGTTCTCATATGTCAGATATTCATTTTTGGAAATTGAATATTTTCTGGAATCAATTCGAAGATGTCACATCTGATTCTAGTATAGACTGAACATAGACTACATAGTGTACAATTCATCAGGCTAGTAGAATACATTAAGAGGTGCTCACCTCAAAGTACGTCTCGATGTACTCTGACACAATGTGTTCCGACTTGGGCTTGTTCTGACAGTACACGACGTACATATGCAGACGCCTCTCCTGCATTACAAGCCAAACAAGCATCCCATTACAAAATCATTCAGCCGAACCTTTGATGCAAATTAGCCATGAAGAGAAGAACACTTTACAACTGCAACATGAGCCTCACTGTGTGAGAAATCTTGAGTTGCATTACAAATAATTGAAAATGCTACTGAAGGTGAGCAAAAAAAACTACAACAATAACTGTGCAGTGTCTCCGGTTGCTGTTTGGGATGAAAGGGAGCAGAGCAATAATGATTTGCCTCATGGTGAGGGGTCTTTGAAGCTGACTCTGTCTGGTTAGTGCCTACTCTTCTGTGACTAATTGGCCTGGGAGTGCAGATGTAGCAGTCCTGAGCGCCCTAATGGAGTTACATGTAGATGAGCATCAGGTTATGTATAATTTACCCAGGTTACCCTCAGTGTAACCAGAGCCTTTTAGAGGCTCCCGATATAACACCGTACCTAGCAACAAGCTGCATGGCTCTGTAACCTAGAGACCGATGAGCCGCTCCACCTGAATATGGACATCATGAAACACTGCAGATGACGGCCGCATCGTGAAATACAAGGGTGTGTGCCGTGCGTGCATCTGTCTACCAGCCCTCTGTGTGAGAGCACGGCTGTGTGTTTACATGTGTTCGTATGTCGCATGTGTGTGAGCGACACATGTTGCACATTTGTGACAAAAGCTCTTGTTAAAAGCAGATTGGGGCTTTCTGCTTTTCATCGGGGTCATGTTCCCAGTCTGCTTGTCTTCACAGTTTGACACCATGCTTAGATTTAGTTACAAGTTTCTTTATTCCCCCACAGGCTTTTTAAGTTGATTATCCAGAGGGCTGAGCCTTATTGGATTGTTTAAAAAGAGAGAGAGAGTGAATATAGCAAAAGAGAGACACAGACATTTAACTTCATCATCCAATCAAGTTGGTCAAATTACACATCACATCAGACCAGTCTGCATGTGCCACCACTTAACCAATATACATGAATCTAATTGTGCTCCCATAAGCCCTGTGACCCTGTACCGACGCAGGCTCTATTCTATTCTAAGAACAGTACACTTAAAAGTGAATCTTTCTTGCGTGCATTGCTTTGCTTCATCCTTGAGCCAAGATATGTAGGAAGAAGTACGTCTCCGTTTTGGGTGGAAAAAAGCCCTCAAATCAAAGGGCCTGAGCGGAGGGTTTGTTTTTCCTCGTCCTATTCATGTTGTCTTTTTCGGCTGTTTTTTCCCTGGTGTTTCCTGACCAGTCCGGCCCAGACTGGAAATCGGCCAGTGTGTCATTTGTGTGTATGTGTGTGTTTGCCATGTGCGCTTTTGTAAAAACACAGCCTGGACTGAGACATATCAGTAACAGGGAAGTGGAAGGAGAGACGCTGGCAGCTGAGGGAGAGGGAGAGACGTACGGTATAGGATAAACAGGGGCTCTGCATGTTTTCTTAGCTCTATTTACCCTCACTCCAAACAGCACAAGGAAGCAGAGCCAGACACTTCCACTGACGTGTGTGTGTGTGTGTGTGTGTGTGTGTGTGTGTGTGTGTGTGTGTGTGTGTGTATGTGTGTGTGTATGTGTGTGACTGTAGTAGTTATACTTACATGTTTAATGAAGAGCTGAGCCAGTCTCTCTGGCTCTGCCAAGCACTTCTCCAGCTCTCCCAGGAAGTAGCTGAAGAGAAAACACACACACACACACACACACACACACACACACACACACACACACACACACACACACACACAAGCACAATCATCCCCAAAACGGAAGGTCAGATTTGTCTCCTGACCTATTGTTCCTTTGTCCTCCACAAACACAATTCACTGCAAATCACTATTTGTCTTTCATTTTGAATGCAACTGGAGCAAACACACAATTTTCCTCAAGTGGAAATATATATATTCTTAAAATCAGGGACTTACTCTTTATGCCAGTCAAATATTTGGTGAATGTTCCCAAAAACAATCTTGTCTTTTCCCTTCATGTCCTCCGGGATTCCTTTGGAGCTCATCGTGGCCATGTAGCCCTGCAAGGCAATGACAAAGCTGCTGCTGACGTCTGTTCACACTTACGAAAGCCCCTCACCTGGCTCTGAATAACACCAGTAAACATAGCTTGATTGTTATAACATAGCAGCAATCACACACCAGCTATTATTGAGCTTATGTTAACTTTCAAGATGGCAAGAGTTCTTCGCTGAATCAGAATATCTCCAGCTATTTAAGGCCCCGGGAGATAGATCAGTTTGCAACATAATACTCTTCAAGCTAATAATTCACTAAATCTTCTTAAGACTGGAGAAGGTGGGGTGGAGGCAGACCAAAGTGTGAAGAAAAGTGGAGACGTTCTGATGATGTGGATTTAGAGAGCTCTCCCTGACAGACTGGGTGGATGACTAAGCTCCTTCCTCTCTGTCACTGCTGAAAGTGAGTTCTTAGCTGCCAGACTGGGAGGTTTACCTCCACTATGAGCCCCAGGTCTCCCACATAGTGCTTCTCTGTCTCAATAAGCTCCTTCAGCACATACCTGTAAAGATACAAATGAGGGAGGATTAGTGTTAGACTTATGATATCAAATTTATTTTTGCAAAATCTCAGTAGCACTTTATTTTCACCCAGAGTCCTAGTTTCTGAATCATTTTCCAGAAAGGAACTGATGCAAAACTGTGATTTTGTATATCCTGGAAAACTGGTACACTTCCAGTTAACTAAATCCAATTCAATGGAGTCTTTCAGCATATAGCAGGTAAGATGAACATGCAAACATGTAAAGTTTTAGCGGGAGACTTCAGTCTTGACCTTGGAAATAATAGTTTGACAAAGTAATCTTAACTCACTAGCTATTTCAGGAGCCTTAAATTGCATCTTACAGTCTTCATCAGCAAATGGAGTTTACTCATTTGCCATGACAATGGCTCTCAGTTGTCTTTATGTGACGTATGGAACTTAAGTCATGTGGTAACAGCTGATGAAGACCATGAGATGCTGCTGAAAGTTCTGAAGAGAGCTAAAGTTGTGAGTCGGCCCTGAGATAAGATTAAATTTGTCTGTCTGTGAGGTTGTAAATTATAGGCAAGCAGGCAATTCAATAAGTATGTAGAATTAACGCATAAATTAAAATTGTCTTCAGTTAAATTATCATAACATCTATTTACAGAATATGTCAAAGCATTGCTGTCATGAGTATTATCTTTTGAGATAAATGATGTGAGCCACATTCGCACTGATAAAACACATACATGCTTTTCTCCAAGGCACTTCTCCTCTCCTCCTCAGTGTCAGCCGCCGCTGACCATTGGCTGGAGGTGTCGTCCATCAACATAGAGCCGCTGTCATCTGGCAAAACACTGGTGGACTGAGTGTCCTGAGGAGGCAGAGACAGACAGGCAGACAGACAGACAGACAGACAGACAGACAGACAGACAGACAGACAGACAGTGAAACTGTTTATCAGAGGTCCAGTGCCAGTGATATGGATGATGCCAGGAATAAAGTAAGCAAGGGGAGGTAAAGCGCAGGAGAGAGATGATAATGATGCAGGTTGCCAAGGTGACCAGGGAGAGCAGAGAGACACAAGGAACAGAGATTGAATGATAAGAAGATCAGAATCAGATTGTCCCTGTTAATGATCAGTGCTGTGCACCTCAGCCCCAGATAGATGGAGAGAATGAGATTCAAAGATAAAGACAAAGGGTTAGAGGGAGCACCAGACTAGACAGCTGCTGCAGATGAAATGAAGCTGTGAAGGTTCTCGATGGAGTTTTGGCTTCGGATGGAAGAAGAATAGAATCACGTCATGCCCGCTGGCAATGGCATTAGATCTCTGATTTATGAGTGAATTAATAAATGATATTTTCTTGTTTTGCCACCCAAGGATTCAAACCCACGTTAATACATCACATAGCATCTGTTTTTAAATTTCTGCAACACTACAACAGCAGCATCTACATCATCATTTCCTAGTAGTCTACTGCCTTATTGGCTGCAAATAGGAAAGTGCGCGGCCAAGGTTACCCTGACTTAATCGATTGTGTTCATGTGTTATATACATGACCTCCTTTTCATGCTTTTTCCTGGAATTGATATCATTTCCTGTGGAGATCCTGGCACAAATAGAGTCATTGTGCACACCGCAACAAAGCCTGCAAAGACTAAAATCATCAGTAACTCAATGGATACATGCTTCACAGCTGCGCACGACCCTCATGTTTATCTAACCTATTTCTCCGTCACAATGAGCACACTTATCTTTATATGGCTGTAGGCTTCATGGCACACGACCATTTCTCTGTGCAGTTGGATCTTCTTTCAAATGTTCTTCCATCTATTTTTAGTCATATTCTTCAAGCCGTTTCTTTTTAGACTTTTCACTCCCCTGACTGTGTAAACTTATAATAGCAGCCGTCTGTCTTCACCTAAATCCCCGTGTCCCACTTGTCCAAGTCAAGCAGAACCTCCCCACCTTAAAAACATACACAGACCTGTACACACACCGCAGACATGCACCTAATCCCCCAGACTAGCATGGCAGGCGGCTGCCCAATGGAGAAATAAATAGATGGATAGATAGATAGACATAAAGGCAAATGGAAAAAGAAACAGAACTTTCTCCTTTTCTCCTCTGGTCCAGTTCCACTTGTTCACCTGCCATCTCCCTGATAAACTTGTTGGCGTCTACAAAGCTGTGAGCTTTCTATGCTGTCAAAATGATGTGTCAGAGAGAGAGAGTGAGAGAGAGAAAGAGAGAGAGAGACAGAGAGAGAGAGAGGGGAAAGAATGAAAGAGACAAAGCAAAGTGGAGAGACCAGGGTGTAGGGAGAGACAGAGAGGCTCCATAAAGACCCTCGCTCCCCCCTGCTCGTCTTGCCCCGCTAGGAGTGCTCCAGCCTGGCTGACAGGTCTCCCTGGTTCCCTGATTACTTCCAGATGTGCAGTGGCAAAAGCCCACAGGAAAAATTCCCCTCTTCTCCCTCTGTTGCAAGTTTTGTTTTTCTACCCAGAAGCTCATGAAAGAAAAAAAAAAAAATGAAAACAGTTTAAGTAAAAGCTGAGGTAATGCTTTTTTTGTTGTTGAATCTTTTAAAGAATCTATTCTAACAATTCAATCACGCTCTTATTAAAACAACAATTATTAGAAATGTTGTGCAGTAGTAGAATACATGTTTACATCCGAGAGGACAATGTTCAAGTCATGCAGTTATTTTTATTTCATAATTCTACATCTACCTGCATCCATTTAAGTATACTACATCCATTATTTTATATTTATTTTTTATTGCATTGCCCCTTTAGGGACAAACAAACCACTTACTGTAGGAACACATGAAAAGCTGCTCATCAGCAATACTGAAGTGAAATTAAAGGGATTTTCATACATAGAAAAATGATTCTTTATGGCTTTAAATGTGATGTTTTTAACGCAAGTTGTCAGGCATCATAGGAATATCTGCTGATGATTAAATGACGTGTTTTTACATTTCTAATGGTACCATCAGCAGTTTCTTATTTCTTGATGCGGATGGAGCAGACCAGACGTGGGGACACAGGTCATCAGGATGGTGTTGTGTTCTGGAGGAACACGGTCGAGTGAAGTGCTGAGAACTGCAATCTGATAGCATTGTTGCCGGCTTTGAAGAGATCTCACAATAACAGCACTCGTGTCTGTTCCTGTCTCGCTGAGAATCTGTTCCTCAGTTAATTGTTTATCAGGCGGTCGAGATGACAGACCGTACAAACTGTTCTTCAGGAAGAGCATTTTCATAAATGTTATGATCTGTAGTGCGGGCTTCCTTTCTGACAGCACAGCTTATTTGACCGCTTACATACAATCACAAGAACTTTCCATTGACGAAGAGATAATAAACATTTAATCAAAAACCATACTTCACTGTGGTTATGAGATTGAAGACAACAGTTCGAAGAAAAAAGATGGAAAAATAACGATGTATATTACACTGGACGTGTTGCCGGTGAAGCTGGGGTAGAGGCAGAAACCACAGCTTGGAGATGACTGACCTACATAATTTAATCCCTCTACCTCTACCTTTCTCTTTCTCTCTACCTCTCTCTCTCTCTCTTTCTCTCTACCTCTCTCTCTCTCTCTCTCTCTCTCTCTCTCTGTCTCTCTCTCTCTCCCCCTGCAAAAGATTGGCAGTAAAAACAGCAAAGCACTGACCTCATCCCCTGTGATGTAATCGTATTAATGTCTTTTGATGTGTTGTTGAGACTGAAATTAGGATTTAAGTGCTCTGGTGTCGATTCACCAACAGGGGACACTCCACAATGCTCAAATGCTCAGATATCATCATTGTTTCATATTGATAGGGCTCAGGCACCGCTGATTCATGCAACACTGCTGCTGCTCAAGTGAATCCCACTTTCTGCCACGCTTCCACCTCGCAGGGAAAAAGAAAGCGTCGGATTTGAGACGCTCCTTTCCATGAGCGACTGACTGCAGGAGTTTGAGGGAGAGATGGAGGAGTAGGTGCGCAGGTAGCGTTCTTTGTCACTTCACAGGAGAGAGTGGAGTCATCTCTCATCACATCTGCCACTTCATGTTATTTCCTATTTGTCTCCAGGCATGTCCTTTAGTGACATGTTGAATTTGAGTCATGCATCACACAGGTCGCTGTCAAACTCTGCCCTCTGGATCTCTGGAGCATTGATCTGCTCTGAGAGAGCCCTGTATTCATTTAGATTGCCTTTGTGTGTGTGTGTGTGTGTGTGTGTGTGTGTGTGTGTGTGTGTGTGTGTGTGTGTGTGTGTGCTGTACAGTATGTCCCTATGTATGAGTCTATTTGTGTGCATGTCTCTGCAGCCCTGGTCATGTGTATGTGTGGTTACAGCCGTGCTCCTGTGTGCATCTGCGTGCTTGTTTTGTGTGATAGTTGAGCCGGCAGCAGCAGCAGCAGAGTTAGTCATTTCCAGATCTGGCTGGGGGACCATGGAGACAAAGAGTACTGATGTCATTGCCCCCGCCAGGCTGGGTCCTCACGGAGAATATTACTGCTACTCCTCTCAGAGACTGTCTACAGCACACTGTCAGCTAAAATGAATCAGCAGTGGACTCATAGTTTGAATCTCATTCTAGTCAATTATTGATACAAGAGAAGGGTATGTTGAAGTTTTCTGGAATGTGATTAAAACTATTAAGTGGTGTCTCACACAACAGGTTATAGATAGTGTTAGCTTTACAGTGTAGTGTGCCGACAGACCTGAGTGTTTGGCAGTGACGTGCAGCCAATCAGAGAGTCAGTTATATAGCTGGGGGATTGTAGTGTAGCCGGTGACAGGTCCTCTGGGCTCGCCAGGCCATCTTTCCACTCCTGCAACACACATACACATCCACAGTGTCAGAATAACACAATATCAACATGATGTAAAATGTCTGTAGCATATTCATACTTTCAGGCACATGAGAACATACACACGGACACACACAAACACACACAGGCCGCTGCACAACAGCAAAAGAGAGCAAATGAGTCACAAAACATGGCAGCATGAGTTCCTACAGGCTTCCAGCAGTGCTGCTGTTATATAATATCACTGCCACCTGCAACGATACTTAGCCCTCCGTGGATCAACTCAACATCAAACCTGTGACTCTGCTGATATTCTCGAGCTACCCAGTGTAAACAACCCACAGTCAGGATGTTGTCTTTAGTTTGTAGTTATATATGACTGAAGCTTTGTGTGTTTGCTTCAGAACCAGTTCATGTGGTGAGAGAAGGATTCCAGATAATGAGTTTACTTATGGAGGTAGTTCATCGCAAAGGTGTAAAAGGATGTGAAGTACAAAGCCAGCACGGAAAGTCTTGCTGGATTAGTTCATGTGACCAAGACGAAGGAAAAAAAAAAAAGAACACTTCCTCGTTGTAACTTCAATTTGAACTTCTCACCAGTTCTCTGTGGGTGACAGGCAGGATGGTTAGAGTCTCGTCAGGCCTCGGGGGGCTGCCCAGATCCTGGCTGTGGCTATGGGATGGAAGAGGCGGAGGTTTCCCCTCAAGTTTGCGGACCTGTCGCTCTCCTTTGGCGGTGGCCCCGGCACTGAGTTTGCGGACAGGGTTTGTGAGCCATTTCTTCAGGGTGCTCACAGAGCGTCTGGAGCCCGGGGAGCTGGGGGCCGAACTGCCTGATGCCTGCGGAGGCAGCGACGCCACAGAGGTGGAGATGCTGCCCTCGCTGCCTGCTGCCGAGTACGAGTCTGGATAGAAGAGAAAGAGAGAGAAAGAGAGGATTATTGATAAACCAATGAGGCAGACATCTGACAAATAAGGGTTTAATGGGTCAAAGAGCAGATTACACTTGGACTCTCCACGTTCACACCTCCACAGTCAATGAATCAATGGACAAAGACAACAGTGTAAAAAGAGAATTTTGTTAAAGACAGCAGAACTCCTGGTTGACCCTTTAAATCAGGGCAGCAGTGTAGGTCAGTGCGGTGATGGAGGACTGAAGAAGAGAGAAATCAAAACAAAGTGTGGATGTATAAATAGCCTTCCTCTTCAAACACAGCTGTGCAGCTGTGAGCCACACAATAAAAGACACACTGTTCTGTTTATGTCAAGCGGGCCATCGTTTTTTTTTGTTGTTGTTTTTTTTATATATTTGAGCTGTGCGTTCCATCACATGACCAGCACACACTCTATGATGCAATGCAGACAGCAGAGGTCAGGATGTTCAACGTTTGATGTGAAAAAAGTCTCCAGACCACATCGGCTGCTGCACAGTGATGTCAGGAGAACATGGGAAGTCAGCTGGGGGGGGGGGGGGGACCGGACATCTGCTTTAATCCTGTGTAGAAAGGAAGGTCCTCGCTTGGGACTGTTTGTGTTTTTCTGTCTTGTCTTCCATTCCCATCCTGCCTGCCGCCCTTCCTCCTGCCTTCCTCAGTCCTGAGATAGCTCTTCCTCTGAGCTGCTTGTCTGGAGTGTTTTATCTGTTGTGTGCAAACACAGGTCAGCCATGCCTCCCATCCATCTTCTTGCCCCAGAACCGACCTCTGACCCTTGATCGCCACTCTCCTACAGATGGAGAAACACTCTCTCCTGCTAAGACTCACCGCCACGGCTTATTATTGTTCATGCAGCTATTTCACGGCAATTCTGCGAGTTCTCAAGCTTGAGGGAAAAACTAAATGACTCACCTTTAGTTTTAGAGAGAATACTTTCCAGAAAGTTTATATAAAGTGAATTTAAGAAGACAACATTGACCTCATTTCAGTGTTCCTTGTGTGAGCCACAGAGGAAGATCTTATCACAGCATTCAGCAGTAGGACCCATGCTGCAGGAGGCACACGGACACAGCGTAGTCTATTTTGTGAGCGTCCCAACTTCAAAGGCAAAGCCAGAATAAATTCACAATCCCTTCCAGTGTTCATATACTTAAAGAGATTCAGCTTTTCCACACTTTATTCATTCAATTACTGCCCCTCGGAAATACAATAGTAGCCACTGTACCGATCAATGAAAGGGAATTGTGTAGAAATGTCCCCTACTCTACACTCTGCACAAACCTCAGTCACAATGTTTGAGAAATGGCTAACCTCAGAGCAAAACCACTCATGATCATGACATCACATCGCCAGCGAACAAATTTAGATAAAACACATCGTTTGTGGATTTTAGCAACTAACAAAAAAAAAAACCCTCTAACTTGTCTGTTTGTGTATTTCCACCACAGACAGCATTTCCTCTGTAATCTTTCTCTCGTCATACACTTTGCAGGCATCATGCTTGTGGCGTGTGTGTGTTTGTGTGTGTGCGTGTGTGTGTGTGTGTGTTTATGTGTGTGTGTGTGTGTGTGTGTGTGTGTGTGTGTGTGTGTTTATGTGTGTGTGTGTGTGTGTGTGTGTGTGTGTGTGTGTGATCCCAGGGTGGCCAATTTCCCCATCCTGTCCTCCACCACTCCCACCCCCATCCACATGAAAGACTGGGGAGTGTAAGGAGATCTGAGCCCGGCAGGAAAAGCAAGGGGGGGGGGGGGGGGCAAACAGAGGGAAGAAACAAGGAAGAGAGAGGAGTACAAAGACGGGAGACAGCTAAACCCTGCAGGGAATAGACGAAAATTTGAACAAACACTGAATGGGTCCGTAGACGATGAGACGACATAAAGAAGAAACAGCAGTTTCAGTTCAAGCCTTTGCTCTTTGTCAAATGTCGTAGCTGTAGAACACAATAGGATAACAAAAAACATCTGAAAGCCATTGTATTTTATTTTGAGGCAAAGCATATCCCATCTCTGAGGGTCCCCAGCTTGAGAGAAGAGAGAGGATGTAAAAAATGATGCTGAGCACATGTGATACGTGTGCACCCTCCTGGCCTCAGCTTCTCTGACCTCTAACAAGAGCCAGGCCCAGGGTTTTGTGTTTCCCAGTGTTCCCTGCTCAGGTTCGGTCGGGCCAGGATTTAGGGGTCACAGTGCAGAGACACAGCCAGTAACACCATTTCTAACCATCTCCAGACATCAGTTGAGATAGCTTATCAAAAAAAAAAAAAGAAAAAAAGAAAAAGGAAAAAGAGAGGCTGACACCCTCTCTGTGCCTGGGAGCAATTAAAAGTGAGTGGAGACAGCAGTGCAGCTTCATGATGTGAAAGTCTGTGTCAGAATGACACAGTGACTCTGTCAAATGTACAGATTTACGACATGCAGTGTACATAATTTACCGGTTTTATAATGAGGATCGTTACATCAGCATCTGTCACCATGGCAACCTTGCAGTTCCCCTACTGATTGTTGCGCGTGTGGGTCGGTTTCCCTGTTGACCCCAGAAAGTTTAATCTCTGTATTGTTCTGAAAGCTTATACAAGCCATTTCTGGGACATATATAATAGATTTGATTTTCATAGTAACAACGAGGAAACTGTAAAACACAAAGGGAGATGATGATCTTACCCCTCAGAGCAATATGCCTCCTCTCTCCCCACACACTGCAAGATGAGAGGAGTTGATACCATTATACACCTACACCAAGGAAATTGGGAGAAATAAAAAAAAAAAAAAAAAAAAAAAAACCTTCCCACTCTCGCTCTATCTTACCGTGTGCTGATAGTGCGCAGTGACATTCATCTCCATAATGGCAGGGCCAAGAAAAGACGACGCAGGCTGATTATGTTAATGCAACTTGAGTGTTGTTTATGTGTTTGTGATAATTAACAGTTGAAGGTACAGGGCAACAGGACTGCATTAAGCTGGCCCGATCCGCGGAGATCAGTTAATGCTGGGCTTTCACCAGTCGCCCACTCACTGTCTGAACGCCTGAGTGGCTGCCAGGGTGGAAGGCTCACCCAAAAAGTTGCTCTAGTATGTAACTTTAGAGCCGAGTGGGTTCTGCTGCAAAGTAGTTCCAGACCTTCTCTTGATCCTGTTCCCCTCCCAATACTGAAGTTTGAGGGCAACTTAGGAGAGTCTGATTTTGGCAGTCCACGGTTCATTCATCCATAATGTGATTAGATTACACACAAAGTCATCTATTATCTTTTTTCTTACAGTATTTACTGGCAAGTAGCAACTAAATCGAGCTTTTGGCTCTCTGTCTGACTTAATCATGTTAGGGCTGCAACTAATTTTCATTATTTTCTTCATTAAGCAACTTCAGAAAACTGCGAAAAATGTCCATCACAATTTCCTGGAGCCCAAGGTGATGTAATCAAATGACTTTTTTTGTCTCACTCATAAATTCAACTTACTATCACGTAAGATGAACAGAAGAGAAGCAGAAAGCATCAAATGTTTGGCAATTTTTGCTTGACAGCAATTAATCAGTTAACAAAACAGCGGCAGAATCATTTCCTGAAGACTGGCGAATCAACTAATCACCTGATCGCTGCAGCTCTTCATCATTTGATGTCCATCTTTTTCATGTGGTTTACAGGGAGCCATGTCTGCTCACCAAAGTTTTAAATTTAATTGCAACTGAATTAAATTATTCAGTAACTATCTTTGATACAGCTTGCCCAGTCATGTGGAGAAGGAAGTCGTCTGATGCAATATTCTCGTGAAGGTCACAGAAGTTTGATTTGGATGTGATTGAATCAAAGGTAAACGTCCCGGTGATTCATGTTTGGAACAGAAAACTGGAGAGAAAATAAGGGCAAATCACACAATCCCGCAAAGCAGCCTGGAGTTTGTGGGTGGGTGATGTGGATGGATGTGTTATGAGCGTTTGGTCCCCCTGAAGAAGTTTGGCTCAACTTCCTTTTATTGATCAGTTGATAAGTGAATGCTGCTGAGCTGACAGATCAGGCTAAAAGCGTTAGCTGTAATGGAGCAAACTTGTTCACAACTGCTCCACTCTGGAGCTCTCTGTCAATCCTACAGCCTCTTGGGACCATATAGATATTTAGGCATCACTGGACTCCACCAATACACACATACAGACACACACTTTCACGCACACACAAATGGCACATGCACATTTTCTCCAGGGTAGCTGTCCAGATGGACTGCTGTTGACTGTTCACCTGTGATCTAAGCTTCCAGTGTCATCCATCTGTCACAGCAAACAACGCACGGCACACCAGAGACAGGCGACCTGCTGGTCGCCACGGTTGCCAACATGTCAAACGTCCAGCTCAGTCTAAGAGACTCTTGGAGCTGTCAATCAATGCCGGCCCCCTCAAAGATAACAACCGTGGTGGTGTGAGAGTGTGGCTGGTCAACGCACAGACACCAGACGCCCACCTGCGTCATCACTAACAACTCTTATCTTCACTATTCCATCTCTCGTTCATTGCCCTCCCACCTTATTCTCTTCAGCGCAGGCTCTACTTGTATATTACATTTCACCCACTCAGAGGAAATGGACACTCTTCCCATCAACTAGCAGGACCTGGGCTGCACTCAGGCACTCAGATGTGCAGACAGGCCTGGGAGACAATCAGGCACTTAGTACCTGAAACATATGACCGGAAACCCTCTAACTGTCCTCTGATGAACTTTTACAGAAATATGTTATAAGGGTTTTTACTGTATAACATTTTTTGGACCTTTTGAGTCTCCTGACTTTTTGTCTGCTATCTCTGTCTCTTTCACTTTTATCTCATTACATTTCATCCTGCTGGCCACAGGCTGGTTTATGTGTTATTATGTTTGTGCTGCTTCAGATTAATAAATCCTGACACTTGGCTTTTCTCTCTTTCTCCTGTCCTCCCTCTTCCCTTCCACTTCATCCTGACTCTCCTTCTTAAACTCTGCCAGCCTCTT